CTTGGTGAAAGTTTGCACAGAGTATTCAAGTGTGTCTGGGGTCCAAGCTCACAAGAGACCATGGTCTGCATAGGGTCTTTTGCAGGCAGGGCTTATGAGAGAAATGTTTGCAGATATTTGACCCTAATAATTATAGATATGCTTTACAATTACCATGAATATTTACATACTACCTTGTAAATAGTCTATTGTGCAAATTGTAAAATTACAATTACCAGCATCTTCTGAGGGTTTATTATGCTTCTGACACAGGTCTAGGTGCTTTCAAGTGTTATTTCATTTCACCTGAACAGAGGTTATAAGGAGAAGGGGTTTGGAGAGGTTAAGTGATATGTTCAAAGTCATTCGCTTCATATGTGAAGAGCCAGAATTAAAAAGTTGATGTGTTTGATGTAAAAAATAGTACTCTGATCTACTAGGCATACTCTTTCCCTGAGACTCCACTGCCAATAATTATCCCTGAACCACTAAGAAACATCTGTAACCAAAATAAATTAAGAAAAATAAAAATGTTCTGCTTTAAAAAAAAAAAAAAAAGAATCCCAGCAGAGCCCTGGCTGTGTGGCTCTGTGGACAGAGCGCCAGCCCAGTACTGAAGGGTCGCAGATTTGATTCCTAGTCCAGGGCGTGTACCTGGGTTGCAGATTTGATCTCCCGCCCCTGTCAGGACACGCCCCGTCAGGACACGCCCGTCAGGACACGTGTGGGAGGCAATCGATCCATGTATCTCTCATATCAATGTTTCTCTGTCTCTCTGTCTCCCCTTCCCTCCCTCTCTTCCATTTTCTCTTAAAAAAAATCAATGGGAAAAAATATCCTCAGGTTAGGATTAATCAAAAAATAAATAAATAAATAAATAAGAATTCCAGCTGGGATAAAACAAAGCCACATGGCTTCACTTTGAAAGACACTCCCAGTCCGTACTTTGGAGAGGAGCAGAGGGTGGGCCCCTGTAAAAGACTCAGGTACTCCTGTCCTTCATCATAAACAGAAGTGCACTAGCAAACACTGGTTTCAATCCACACCCAAGACATTTTCATTTATCACTGGGGGAATGCTAAAAATGCCCCCACTCTGCCCTGGCCGGTTTGGCTCAGCGGTTAGAGCGTCGGCCTGCGGTACACAGAGACCCGGGTTCGGTTCCCACTAAGGGCATGTACTTCGGTTGCAGTTTGTCCCCGGCCCTGGTTGGTCGTGCGGGTGGCGACCACTCGATGTGTCCCTTCACGTCGATGTTTCTCTCTCTCTCTTCCTCTCTCTCCCTCCCACTCTGTCTGAACAAAAAATGCAAAAATGTCCTCGGGTGAGGATTAAAAAAAAAAAAAAAAAATGCCCCCACTCTTATTCAAGATAGCATCCTGTCCCCAGCGCCATCTCAGCACTCCCAATCCCTCCTTGCCTAGACTCCTTATTTCCCATAGGTCTTGTCACCATCTCACACACTAACCCACGTGCTTATTCGCTGGGCACATTACCATTCTGTGCTAGAATGCAAGCTCACTGAGAACAGGGGGTCTGTGTTTTGTCACTGCTCTGTCCCCAGTGCTTGGAGACACAATGGCCTAAATCACAGCTGGAGCACATTCCTCCTCCTTAGAAAAGTAGAGGATGGTATCTATTCAAAACACTTTCTACCATTTCACCAGAACTGCTAAATGCTGCTAAATATTTCGCGCATTTGAATAGAGACATCAACACATCCACAAGTGAATTCAACACAGGAGAAAGGTGTCATTATGGAATAGTAGAAATACCACTGACAGATGGAAGGGGGTTTTCTTGTCATACAGCTTACCCAGGGAATTACAGGAAGAGTTCAGAGTCAGCATGACTGACAAGCGATTCAAGCATTCAAATCGAGTCATGATGCCTCAACTCCCAGGCGCAGTGTTGGGGAGCAGTGGGTGGGAGGGGAGGGCGATTCAACAAGGAGGTTTCATTTCAAACACTGATCTTTATAACAGAAGTGACTCTTTGGAAGAGGTTTTAAGTACCAATGACTTCTCTAAAGCCAACTACAGAAAAGTGTGATAAAACTAGTGTGGCAGAGCATGAGCTAATAATACTTTTCATTTATTACACACTTGACTAGGTACCAGGCTCTGTTCTGAGGCCTTTACACACATTACATCATTTAAGTAGCTTCACGGTGTGGTGTAGGTACTACTACTCTTTAATCGATAGGGAAACAGAGGCTTTGAGAGGTTGTCTAACCTGCTCAGGACCACAAGCTGCTTAGTGATGGAACTAGGATCCAACCCAAGAGTCATTCTCTAGGTTAGTGGTTCTCAACAGGGAGTAATTTTGTTCCCCAGGGGATATGTGGCAATGTCTGGAGATTTGTTGTTGTCACAGCGGGAGGAAGGTGCTACTGGCCTATCTAGTGGGTAAGAATGCAGCAAAACATGCAACAATGCAGAGCACAGCCCACAACAAAGAGTTATCTGGCCCAGAAGGTCAACAGCACAAAGGCTGAGAAAACCCTCCAGAGTGCAAGCTCCTCACGGTGTACTCGACGTATGAGGAAGACCGCCTTTCGCACCTGGACCAGAGGGAGGAAAACTGAGTAGAGCATTTGGTTACGGGCAGTTCTACATTGCGCTGTAAACGAAGTGTATGTTTCCTCTCGAAACAGATTCCGACAAATGGGTGACCTAAAACTACAGAACCTTCTTCCTTCCCCATTCCGAAGCCCAGACGTCCCAAACCAGTATCCCTGGGCTGAAAGCTGGCTGGGCGAGCTCCCTCTCAGGGTCCAATGGGGATCTGTCCCTTGCTTCTTCCAGCTGCTGGTTGGGCCAGCACTGGCTCCTTGGCTGGTGGCCACATCATGGCCGTCTCTGCCTCCATCTTCATATCACTTTCTGTCTGTGCAGCCCCCTGCCTCTTTCTCCCTAGGACACTGGTGATGACATGTAAGGCCACCTGGACAATCCAGGGTAACCTACTCATTTCAAGATCCATAATCACATCTTCAAAGACTCTCTCCCCCCCCCCAATAAAGTAACATTTACAGGTTCCAGGGATTAGGGCACGGATCTCTCTGGAGACAGTTTCTAGCCTACCACAAGTAGATCAATGTCGGCTCCCATTTTACCCAGGAGGCAACTTGAAGCCGTGCGCCAAGGACATGGCTAACAAATGGTGGAAGCGGGATGTGGACCCAGCCCTGTCCACCCTGAAGCTCATTCCTTCTCTTTTCTTCAGACCGAAGCCCTGGACTCTGGGCACTGCCCCACAGCTAGGTCTCATACTCTTTTCTCTAAACCACACCGCCTACAAAGGAGAAGGTCTTAAACCAGCAGGTCCTAACCTCGGAGTGGGACTAATGCAAGAGGAGTGAAAATCCACGAGCTCCCAGCGCAGCCAGTAAAAACCAGGAAAGCACAGACTCCATGACGCGAGGATCCTGAGAATACCTGTGTTAATCCATTCTTTTCTTCTCTTTTTTTTTTATCCTCACTCGAGGACATTTTTCCATTTTTTGAACAGATAGAGTGGGAGGGAGAGAGAGGAAGAGAGAGAGAGAGAAACATCGACGTGAAAGGGACACATCGAGTGGCTGCGACCCGCACGACCAACCAGGGCCGGGGACAAACTGCAACCGAGGTACTTGCCCTTAGCGGGAACCGAACCCGGGTCTCTCCGGACCACAGGCCGACGCTCTAACCGCTGAGCCAAACCGGCCAGGGCCATTCTTTTCTTTATCTAATTGAGTGAACATTTCTCATCCCCTAGGAGGTGTCTTTTTATACAAAGAATTACCTACAGTCCTTGCACAGAATAGCCTATAGTCTTCCTTCTGTATCTTAAGTAATATTTAACAAATTGCAGCTTTAACTGCACATCCTCCTTTAAGGTTTGCACGTTATTATGAACTAAACTCCCAAGCTTACTGGGAGAGGAAGTGATTGCCAACGAGGGAAGGATGTGGTGGGTCCCTGTGTGTGTGGGTGCTGGAGTTTTCATCACCCCAGAAATGGTTTGATGTTAAAAATACTGGGGAGGTAGCTATAGAAAGGAATACAGTGCTGAGACATGTTACAACCTGGATAAACCTTGAAAACATTATGCTAAGTGAAAGTAGCCAGCCACAAAAGGACACCCTGCATAATTCCATTTATATAAAATATCCAGAATAGTTAAATCCACAGAAACAGAAGGCAGATTAATGGTTGCTTAGGCTGCAGGGAGCAGGGAATGAGGAGGGGCTGCTGAGTGATATGAAGTTGTACTCTGGAGTGATGAAAATGTTTCAGAACTAGAGAGAGGTGGTCGTTGCCTCTGCTTTTCACTTTAAAATGGTTCCTGTCATGTCGTGCGGATTTCACCTCAATGTATGCAGGAATAAGTGAATGGAGGCCTCTATCCTAAGCAAACACTGGGGTAGACAAAACCCATTTCTTTACAATGCAGTGATAAATCATGTTCTGGTTCAAATCCTACAGTAGTGGCTCCTGGCCAAGAAGCTATGATTGATTTTATATGACCCTGGGCAGGGCCATCTTCTACTGCTGTCCTTGTTGGACTTTGACAAGAAGGTTTAAAAGAACCGGAAGTTATAAAAATTATGAATTTATTTACAAATTTTTGCTACTAAAGTAAGAAATCCTTGCTGTAAAAAATAGCTACGTTATACCAAAATGTATTTTTAAGTAATAACCAGGATGAAAACTTGACCTCCCACTTTCCTATATATTACGTTGCCTGCTTGGATTTTCCGATAAAAGAGCCAGAAGAGATACTACAATGAAAGTGCTCTGTGAACTCTGAAGCACATTTCGAAGGCAAGGCTTTCTATTAGCGGAATAATGAGAATCATCGAACAGCACCAAGTAGAACAGTGCCATGCTGGAGCGCAGTTTCACAGGGCAGCAACACCTACCCCAGGAAGCCGGTGGCCTATTACTGTACAATCAACAGACAGGAATTAAGCAACAAATGTCAACAACTGCAGTTTCCATGGCCCAATAATCAGATAGGAAGGACCAGAAGAATGTGCATGTGTGAGATAAGCTTCCCCTCCTGAGTTGAAGGCTGTCACCCGGGGAGCCTGGTCTGCCCCAGGGGCCCTATGGGACAGGACTGTAAAGGAAGAATGTGAAGCCCTGTCCTGAGGCCAGGGTTGGGACAGTCTGTGGGGCAGCCAGGGAAAGAATGGACGGGTAAGGCCTAGTTCAAGCCCAACTCTGTCCTTCAGAATCCAGCTTCTCCTCCTCCTCTGGGAGGAAAACTTTCCCACCTGCCAGGAACCTCCAACCGAGTGGGTCAAGGACAGGAAAGGGATGTAAATGCACCGCCTTCATAGGACTGAATCTTCAAGAGAAGTTCTCTTGCTCTGCACCATGCAATACAGCTTCTGGGCTGGGAACTCGTCTTTCCATTCCGACAGAGGCCGGGCCACGGTCGCTTCCATGCACTTTGAAAGCAGTGCGTGATGCCACAGGCCTGTGGCAAGGCCAGAGGACAGCTATGACAAGAGGGACAGCAAGGGAGGTAGAAGAGGACACCCCGGAAATGAGCTGGGGGTGAGCTCTGGGCCATGTTTGCCATTAATCCCTTTGGTGATCTCACCCTAACTTCTCCTCCTTGGTGTGGTTATCTGTAAAATGGGGTGACAGCCCTGCCCTGCTTGCCTCAGACAGAGTTCTTAGTAGAAGAGAGGGAGGGAAAGGGGGGAGGGAGACAATAATACAAAAAGTTAAGCTTCTTACAGCATTTTCTAAACTCAGTCCTAGGATCCCATGTAACCAAGAGCCTAGATCAGCGGTTCTCAACCTGTGGGTCGCGACCCCTTTGGGGGTCGAACGGCCTTTTCGCAGGGGTCGCCTAAGACCATTGGAAAACACATATTTCCGATGGTCTTAGGAACCGAGACACCGCTCCTCTATCCGTCTCCAGGCGGGTCCGCCCACATGCAGATACGCCCGCATAGACATGAGGACCTGTATCAAAGGGCCACGGCATCAGGAAGGTTGAGAACCACTGCCCGAGATGTTAAAAGTTAACATGAAAGAAGAGGTAGGTTTGGGAAGTGATGGCTTAAACAAAGTTGCTCTTTAATTCATTGCCTTCATTCATGTAGGTATATATTACTGAATAAAACAGATATATGGGACTTACAACTTGATAGTGTGATACATGCTGTGAAATTAGGGGCAGATCTATTAGTTAGGGGGGCAAGGAAGTCTTTTCTGGGGCAGCAACAGTGAGAATCCTGAAGCTCCAAGGATGCAGCTGTGCAGGGGACCGGAGAGCGGGGGGGGGGGGGCATCCAGAAGGGAGGGGCAGCCAGGTCAGGAAAGAGGTTGGGGCAAAGTGGCCAGGAGACCTGGGAGCCTTTTCTATGCCGTGTTTCTTGTGAGTCTCCAAGAGTGAGGGCTGCGATAAGCATTGCTTCCCAAATAAAGTATTACAAGAGGTTACCATGGACATGTGAACTAAGCCACTAAGATAGACGAGCTATCAGATCCAAAGTGCATGCTTGGCCTAGATGCAACTCTTCAAAGAACATAGCCCCAAACCATTTTCACTGACCTTCAACTCATCATGCAGAGTGAGGATGAAAACATGTCAGGCTGTTGGTGACTAAAAGGGTTCCCCTTTGGCCAGTAGCCCGCGGTCCTGGTCAGAGCGCAGTGCACAGGACTAAGGGGAGATGTGGGACCACCTGCCCTTCCTCTTCTAGCCTACTGAGCGGCCTCAACAGAACTAGCTGGAGAACATGAGACTCCTGCAACATGGTGCCTTCGGCCTGAGAAATCTAAAGCACTAGTGGTATGCTGGCAGGATGCTGGTGGACAAGCCAAAGGAAATATCACCTGCCTTGGGATCAGCCTGCACTCCCCAAGTTTGTGGGAGCAAAGAATGTGTGACTGTTTCTGATGGGCCAGACATGACCACACCTTGAGCACAAGTATGGGGCTATATGGAGTTTGCCAAGTAAGAGCTACCTCTTGCACAGAAATGGAACCCAGCAGACAGGAGAACAAGTGAACCAATGGGCTTTCTAGAGACTGCAAAAGGAGAGAGTGTGGCAGCCACACCAAGGAAAAGGGGGGTAAGAAGTCTCCAGAGATACATGAGGGGATATCTCTGAAAAACCTGCAAAAGGGTCCCATCAGAGAAAGAATCATTTCTAAACACCCACAGCACAAACACAGCTCTCCTGTGATACCACTTGCCAATACAAAAACTTCCTCTACCCTTTTCTGCCCTCTCCACCCTACCTGAAGCCAGAAGGAACAGCTACCGATTAGGCAAGAGAGTAAACATCCAGCCACAGTACCTTCTCTCTGCAACAGGCCCTAGCTGGAGGGAGGAGCGCGGTTGTCAATAGGAATGAAGTTGGGAGCTTTGACTACATGTTACTAGACATTTTAATGACCTGGCAAATTAAAGTGGGACTTTTTATTATGTAAAAGGAATTAGTATAGTCATGTGATATGTTTTCATCCAGAAACAGGGGAAATGTTTTCCGGTGAATACATTTAATGGGAGACTAGATAAATTTGGGGTGTTTAAGACATCTCATGAAATCTATTTCTTTGAAGCTGATTACACATGGGACATCTTTGTGGCAGCAATATGTCATGGAAAATGTACTTTCCAAAAAGGCCCCCAGCTTAAACACAAAGATCACCTTGGTTTCTGGGTTTACCTTGCAACACCTCCGTCCTTTGCAGGGCCATACAGAGCCTTCAGCAGCTATAGAGACTGAGGCTACTGAACTCCTGTGCACAGCAGAGGTTTTCGTTCCTACACCCCCCTTCTATTCCAGAAACACAAGCATGGTTTAGAAGGGGATCCCTGCCACCAGGAGCCACCACTGCCACCACTACCACCACGCTCAGCTCTGATCTGCGTGAAACAGGCTCCAAGCCTCATGAGTCTTCTCCTCAGATGTCACCCTAATAGAATGTCTTCCACTGGGACCTCACTGAGAAGCCAAGAGCCTCAACTCGTACCAGCAGTAACCCAGGGATATCAAGGTGGGATATCCTTTCATTCATTCTCCCTTGTCTTATGTGTCCTGAGAAGCACATCTTAGAGCTCAGAGCAGTGAAACATGAAACAGAACACTTCTTCAATGAACTGGCACTTTGATCAAGCAAATGTACAAAAGTCAGCAGTTTCAGCACCATTATAAGTCAGCGGGTTTCACTAAATCAACACACACTGGCCGACTTTGTATGTTATAGGAAATAATGCTTACCAAATCCATGCTATATGAAATAGATTTCTCCTCATACATATGCCTTACTCTTATGAGAGCTCATTTAAAATTGAGATAATTTTAAAAGATGTTTCTGAGCCTGATGTCCACTAGGTTTTGAGCTCCTTAAAGGCAGGGACTGTGTCTCATCTACTCCTTGGGCCTAGCATGGAACCTGGTACATAAGTGGGTTCAGTAAAAGTCCTTTGGGTGATAAGTGAATGAACAAATAATAAATACCCTGGCTCACATCTAAGTTAGATTTGTGTAAATATGGTAATTAAATATGTTTTTAAATAAAGAGAGAGACATGCTATCCATCATTGTTGACTACTCCATTCTGTTCTCTGCAGATGGTTTTTTTTTTTTGTATTTTTATGTTAATCTTATACTTAATTAGATATGTTAGTGGTATTTTACAGAAAAGATTCTTCGAAGGCTACTCTTTCTACAGGTGCCTGAGACCATGTCAACTGCCCTTTCATCCCCACTAAGAAACAGTCAAGACCCACTGTGGTATGTAATCCATGTAAGGCACTCAGTGGTTCAGATTGCTCGAAGGGAATAACACTGTTTAAAATATATATACTTAAAAGAATTAACTTTCCTCTCTTGTGGAAGTCCCTCTGCAGGTGAAGCAGAAAGAGGAAAGGCTTCCAGCACAGGGCTGGGAGACATCAGGCACCATAAAAAGAAAGGCCATATGAGTTAGAAGTGAACAGATCTGCACTCATGTCTTGGCTCTGCTGGGCCTCAGCTTCCTGATCTGTAAAATGGAGATAAGACTGCCTACTTCAAACAGTCAGTGTTGGGAGAATGAGGGAATGTACAGAGGCTCTGATTATAGTACCCAACACATAGTAAGGCTCAAACAGTAGTTTTATTACATTATCTACACATAAAGCCAATTATAAAAACCTACCTGCATATTTAAAGATGGTTTTATATATAGGTGTACTGCAACTCTAAAAGAGTTGAGATCCAAACTCAGTCATTTAGGATTGGGAATACATCTTCCCATAGAAACAATTAATATAACTCATTGAATTCTAGAATTACAAAGAGCCTCAAAGTACATCTAATGGTGTAGAAAAACCTCCCACTAACTGTATATAGTATTTCCTGTTATAGGCTCTGTGGTGCTGAAGTTTCAGCAAGCCCAACAAAAACCACGTAACCTCCAATGTAGTTGAAATGTTACATGCAGGGATCCAAGATGGCAGCAGAATAGGTGGAAGTTACACTCATCTCCTCCCAGAACCAAACCGAAATTACAACTAAATTACAGCACTGACTAGTCACCTGAAGACTAGCTGAAATCTTATAACCAAGGATTTATAGAAGAAGCCACATCAAGACTGGTAGGAAGGGCAGAGATGCAAAAAGGGCTGTTCTATACCCATGTGCTTTGGTTGAGAATGAGGAAAGATATCTCAGCTGCAAAGTTCCTCCTTGAGGAATGAGGGATCTCAATCCCATGCCTGGTCCCCCAGTAGGAGCACCATAACATCTGGCTGTGAAAATCAGTGGGGATTCTATCTGCCAGGTTGAGATGGGAGACTGTGCCACTGAGCCCCACATAACACCTAATATTTAAGACCATCATATAAAAACTGGGAGACACAGCACATACACTTAATATAGAGAAACAAATAAAGAGAAGCAGCCAAAATGAAGACATAAAGAACATGCCCCAAATGAAAGAACAGAAGAAATGCCCAGAAAAAGAATTAAATGAAATGGAGGCATATAATCTACTAGATATGGAGTTCAAAATAATGGCTATAAAAATGTTCAGGGAAATTAGTGGACGACCTGATGAACTCAGTGAGAATTTCGACAAAGAGATAGCAAGTATAAAAAATAACATAGAAATCATTAAAAAAATAAAAATAAAACAACAACAACAAAAAAGAGTAAAAAAATGAAGACCACAACATCTGAAATGAAGAATACACTAGAAAGAACCAAAAGCAGGTTAGATGAAACAAAAGATCAAATCAACAAAAGGTAACAGAAAACACCACCCAATCAGAGCAAACAAATAAACAAACAAACAAACAAACAAAAAAACAGAATTAAAAAAACAAAAAAGAGGGTAGTTTAAGGGAACTCTGGAACAATATCAAGCATAACAATATCTGCATCATAGGCACACCAGAAGGAGAAGAGAGAGAGCAAGGGATTGAAAATCTATCTGAAGAAATAATCACAGAAAACTTTCCCAACCAGGTGAAGAAAATAGACATCCAAGTCCAGGAAGTACAGAGAGTCCCAAACAAAATGAACACAAAGAAGCCCACACCAAGACACATCATCATTAAAATGGCAAAGGTTAAAGAGAAAGAATTTTAAAAGCAGAAAGACAAAGAAAGTTAGTAACCTATAAGGTAGCTCCCATAAGACTGTCAGCTGATTTCTCAACAGAAACATTTTAGACCAGAAGGGATTGACACAAAATATTCAAAGTGATGAAAAGCAAGGACCTAAAACAAAGACTACTCTACCCAGCAAGGTCATCATTTTAAAATTGAAAAAGAAATAAAGGAGCTTCTCAGACAAAAAAAAAAACAAACAAAAAACTAAAGTTCATTACCACCAAACTAGTACTATAAGAAATGTTAAAGGAACTTGTTTAAGAAGGAGAGAAGGAAAAAAAAAAAGAGGAATAAGATAAATATGTATAATAAAATGGCAATAAATATGCACCCATCAATAATCACTTTAAATGTAAATGTTAGATTAAGTGCTCCAATCAAAAGACATAGGTAGCTAAATGAGGAAGAAAACAAGATGTGTGTGTGTGTGTGTGTGTGTGTGTATTCTATAAGAGACCCACTTCAGATCAAAAGATACATACAGACTGAAACTAATAAGATGTAAAAAGGTATTTCATGCAAATGCAAACAAGCAAACAAAAAAAGCTGGAGTAGCAATACTTATATCAAACAAAATGAACTTTAAAACAAAGGATAGAATAAGAGACAAAGAAGGACACTACATAATCCAAGAAAATATAACCCTTATCAACCCTTTACAACACTTATACACCCAACAAGGGAGTACTTAAATATACAAAGTAAATCTTGAGGGATGTACATAAAGGGAGAGATTGAGAGTAGCACAATCATAGAAGATTTTAACACCCCATTGAAATCAATGGATAGATCTTCTAGACAGAAACCAACAATGATTAAATGAGACACTTGACCAATTGGATTTAATTGATATTTTCAAAACATTTCACCCAAAACTGCAGAATATACATTCTTTTCAAGTGCACATGTAACAATTTTCAGGATAGACCGCATGTTAGAACACAAAACAAGTCTCAATAAATGTAAGAAGACTGAAATCACATCAAGCATCTTCTGTGACCATAATGATATAAAATTAGAAATCAATCAATTACAAGAAAAAAAAAACAAAAACACACAGACACATAGAGGCTAAACAACATGTTACTTACAATGAATGGATTAACAATGAGACCAAGGAAGATATCAAAATATACCTTGAAACAAATGAAAATGAAACACAACAACACACAAATCTATGGGACACAGCAAAAGCAGTCCTAAGAGAGAAACTCATAGCAATACAAGCCTACCTCAAGAAACAAAAAAATCTCAAATAAACACTCTAATCTACATCTAAAAGAACTACAAAAAAATAAGAAAGTCCACAGTAAGTAGAAAGAAGAAAAGAATAAGGGTCAGAGAAGAAATAAACAAAATGGAATCTAAAAAAATCAACACAAAAGATCAATAAAAACAAGAACTGGTTCTTTGAAAAGATAAATAAGATTGATAAACCTCATCAAGAAATAAAGAGAGGACCCAAATAAATAAAATCAGAAATGAAAGAGAAAAAGTAACAACTTACACCAAAGAAATATACAATGAATTATAAGAAAATATTACAAACAACTATATGCCAACACACTGGATAATTTGGATGAAATGGATAAATTCCTAGAAACACAGTTTTCCAAGACTGAATTAAGAAGAACCAGAAAGTCTGAACAGACAGATTAAAGCAATGAAACAGAGTAATAAAAAATCTTGTAACAAAGAGAAGTCCCAGTCCAGATGGTTTCACAGATGAATTTTACCAAACATTCAATGGGAACTAACACCTATCTTTTTCAAACTATTCAAAAAAATTCAAGTGAAAGGAGGCCAGCATTATCTTAGTACTAAAACCAGGTAAGATACTACAAAGAAAGAAGATGACTGGCCAATATCCCTGAGGAAGATAGATGCAAAAATCCTCAACAAAAGCCCTGGCCGGTTTGGCTCAGCGGTTAGAGCATCAGCCTGTGGTCCGGAGAGACCCGGGTTCGGTTCCCGCTAAGGGCATGTACTACGGTTGCAGTTTGTCCCCGGCCCTGGTTGGTTGTGCGGTGGCAGCCACTCGATGTGTCCCTTCACGTCGATGTTTCTCTCTCTCTGTCTCTTCCTCTCTCTCCCTCCCACTCTAGCTGTACAAAAAAATGGAAAAATGTCCTCGGGTGAGGATTAAAAAAAAATCCTCAACAAAATATTAGCAAACCAGATTCGGCAATACATTACAAAGATCACATTCCATGATCATATGAAATTTACTGGGATGCAAGGCTGACACAATATCTACAAATTACAAATCAATGAACGTGATTCACCACATAAAAGAAAGGATAAAAATTACATGATCATATCAATAGATGCAGAAAAAGTATTTGACAAAACCCAGCACCCACTTTGGATAAAATTTCTCAGCACAGTGGGAATAGAGGAAACATACCTCAACATAATAAAGCCCATATATGACAAACTCACAACTAACATCATACTTACAGGGAAAAAAAACTGAAAGAATTTTCCTTAAGATCAGAAACAAGACAGAGGTGTCCACTTTCACCACTGTTATTCAACATAGTACTGGAAGTCCTACCCACTGCAATCAGACAAGAAGAAGAACTAAAGGGCATCCAAATTGGAAAGGAAGAAGTAAAACTGATATTATTTGCAAATGACATGATACTGCATATTGAGAACACTAAGGATTCCACCAAAAAACTACTAGAACTGATAAATGAATTCTGTAAAGTAGCAGAATACAAAATAAATATTCAGAAATCAGTTGCATTTTTATATACCAATAATGTACTATCAGAAAAAACAAACAGGAAACAAACCCATTTACAACTGCATCCAAAAAATAACTAGAAATAAATTTAACCAAGGAGGTGAAAGACCTGTACTCAGAAAATTATAAGACACTGAAGAAAGAAACTGAAGAAGACACAAATAAATGGAAGCATATACCGTGCTCATGGATAGGAAAAATTACCATAATTAAAATGTACATACTACCTAAAGCAATGTATAGATTCAGTTCAATTCCTATCATAATATCAATGGATTTTTTTCACAGAACTAGAACAAATAATCTAAAAACGTATATGAAACCACGAAAGATCCTGAACAGCCATAGCAATCTTGAGAAAGAAGAACAAACTTGGAGGTATAATGCTACCTAATATCAAGCTACACTACAAGTCTGCAGTAATCAAAATAGCATGGTACCGGCATAAAAACAGACACATAGATCAATGGAACAGAAAAGAGAGCACAGAAATAAACCCATGCCTAGATGGTCAATTAATATCTGAAAAAGGAGGCAGGAACATACAATGGGGTGAATAAAGTCTATTCAGTAATTGGTGTTGGGAAAACTGGACAGCTGCAAGCAAAATAAATAAACTAGACTACCTTCTTATACCATTAACAATAATAAACTCAATGAATTGAAGACTTCAATGTAAGACTTAAAACCATAAAACTCCTAGAAGAAAACATAGGCAATAAAATTTCTGACATTTCTCTTAGCAATATTTTTTCTGACGTATCTCTTTGGGCAAATGAAACAAGTTAAAAAATAAACAAATGAAACTACATCAAACTAAAATGTTTTTGCATAGCCAAGGAACCCATCAACAAAACAAAACAAAAAAACACCTACTGATTAAGAACATATTCATCAATGATACATCCAATAATGGATTAATATCCAAATTTTATAAAGAACTCATACAACTCAACACCAAAAAAACAAACAATCTGATGAAAAAGTGGACAGATGACCCAGCCGGTGTGGCTCAGTGGTTGAGCATCGACCCATGCACGAAGAGGTTGCCAGTTCGATTCCTGGTCAGGGCACATGCCCAGGTTGTGGGCCCAATCCCCAGTGCGGGGCATGCAGGAGGCAGCCAATCGATGTTGTCTCTCATCGATGTTTTTCTCGCTTTCCCTCGCCCTTCCTCTCTCTCTCTAAAATCAATAAAGTAAAAAAAAAATTTTTTTAAATGGGCAGATGGCTCTTGTCAGTTTGGCTCAGCGGTAGAGCATTGGCATAAGAACCAATGAGTCATGGGTTCGATTCCAGTCAAGGGCATGTACCTCAGTTGCAGTTCACCCACGGCCCTGGTAGGGGTCGTGTGGCAGGCAGCCAGTCGATGTGTCTCTCTCACACTGATGTTTCTCTCTCTCTCCCTCCCTCCCACTGTATCTGAAGATAAATGGAAAAATGTCCTTGGGCAAGGATTAAAAAAGAAAAAAAAAAGAAAATATCCTTGGGTGAGGATTTAAAAAAAAGTGGGCAGATGGCCAATAGACATATAAAAATATGCTCATTGTCACTAATCATCAGAGAAATGCAAGTTAAAACCCAAAGCATTATCACAATAGCCAAGATATGGAAGCAACCCAGTTGCCCATCAATAGATGAGTGGATAAAAAAAAGTAGTGGTACATATATAAATGGAATACTACTTGGCCATTAGAAAAGCATGAAGTCTTCCCATTTGTGACAGCATGGAGAAACCCAGAGGGCATTATGCTAAGTGAAATAAGTCAGTCAGAGAAAGACAATACCATATGATTTTACTTACATATGGACTCTAAGGAACAAAACTAATGAACAAGCAAAACTAAAACAGGCTCACAGACACAGAGAACAGACCAGTGGTAGGCAACATGGAGGAGAGGGTTGGGGAACTGGTTGAAAAAGGTGAAGGGATTAGAAGTACAGATTGGTAGTTACACAACAGTCACAGGTTGTGAAGTACAGCATAGGGAATGTAGTCAATAGTGCCAGGTGGGTACTGGAAATATCAGGGGATCATTTCATAAAGTCTATGATTGTATAACCACTATGCTGTATACAGAAAACTAATGCAAAATAATGCTGAGTATAAACTGTAATTGAAAAATAAAATTTAAAAATACTACACACATAAAAGAAATAGAAAACTATTTTTACATATTCAACAATAGTTCATTTTCACCTGTTCTTCTCACCTTAGCTAAGATTACCTTCCAACTCTAAAAGCCCCTGACGTACAAAGTGGGAAGACATACATTTCTTATTTCTTATAACCTACCCTAGCCCTCCCCACACCCTACAACTGCCATAGAAAACTTCCAGTTGCGCTGCGATAGGAACTTTATCTGCAGCGCGAACAAAGTGCCGGCTGCGGAGGAGAGAGAACTGTGGGCGGGAAAGGAGGCGGTGCTGGAGTGAGCAGGACACGGGACAGAAAGCCTTAGTCACCAGGCTTCCCTCCCTTACCACTCTGTCCAGCATCAGCCGTTCCACCTGGTTGTGCACAAGCAAAACTATTCCCGGACGTCATCTGAGACACTGATGGCTCACATGCGTATGCAATTGTTTAGGGGTCCCCCATCACCCGACTCTGACCCCTGACTGCGGCAGCGTCTGCCCAGGAAGCCGGCAGCAAGAAGGTACAGAGCAGGAATATTTCTTATTTTCTAAATGGCCTAAGCTGGCTGTTTGGATTTACAGAATGTTCACAAGCCTAGTGTGCTTTGCTTGGAGAATGGCTATAACTTGGTCTCCATATGGAAAATTCAGAAGAAACTGCAGAAATGACCAAGGGAATCGGGTTTTGCATAAAAGCTCTAAGCGCTACTCAGATGACATTGGCTAATACTCATGATCCAATGTCAAGTGAAACAAAAATCATTCTATGAAAATGTGTACACAGTATGATTCTAATTTTGAAATATACAGGGCAGGGCAAAAGTAGGTTTACAGGTGTTTATATGAAAAATAATATAATTAATAAATAATAATACAAGAATAAAGAGTTTTGTGTACTCACAACTGTAAACCTACTTTTGCCCCGCCCTGTATGTACATATGATATTTTACACATTCTTACATATATATGTTTAGAAAAAAAGACTAGAAGGAAATACTCCAAAACATTAACAACTATTTTGTCTCTGTTATGAAAATACAGGATATTTTTTACTTTCTAATTTCTGTATTGTCTAGGTTTGGTTAAATGAGTAATTATATAAAAAGAGGTCAAATGGCATTTAGAAACACAAATTAGATATTTTAAAGCTAAGAGAATCCTTAGAAATGACTTAATTCAACAGTTCCCCCAGCCCTTCTTAAATGTGTAGGAAAAATTCCTCTGGCCCCTCAGGTGACTTAGCAGTATGAAGTCTTACAACTAGCAGACAACTAACCAAACGGTGGCTTGAACTTAGATCTTGTGATATTTATGGTCTGTGCCACTCCCATGATACCACCGCGTCCTAGAGGGAGAGACTAATGAACTTCATAAGGAAATACTCCATAAGGAAGGAGTGAGTTTTACTGTGTACACCTACGCTTCTCATTAAATAAATATTTGTCTAGAGTCATATCATAGCTTTATGACAGGCAAACAATTTAGCTGCTAAATGAGCTCTCTGGTGACCTCATCAGAACTATTGAACCAGAGTTCTAGTTACAAAGTTTTTACTCCTGTTTTGCACAGAAGCCCACCTTTGGAGACTTTCAAGATGAAAACAGATCAGAAGGCATCTCTGTCCTAATGGTAAGCATCTCTGTGACTTTAGAGAAGAAATGGGTTATTTCTGTCTTCTGCTGTTGCTAACTACACATATAACAGCCACTTAACTTCCATTCCATTGTATCATGCTGTATGAGAACTACTTAACCTTTTTCCAGCCCCAAAACATATAGAAAGCAGACTGAAAACCTTCATTAAAAGCACATGTATCCTAAAGGCTTTAAGTACTTTATATATATATATATATAAAGTATATATATGAAGCCTTATTAGCAACAAAGTATCATTTAAATCTGACAAAAAGATCAGTTCTAAGATCTTTCTTTTCTTAAGGGAGAAAATTCAGTTAATGCCAATAGGCACACAGAGGAACCTCGGAAGTGGCTTCCTATTTTGTCCTGCTTATCTTGAGCCAGTTGGGCTGGGAACACTTTCCAGGCAAGGGGTGGGAGGTGGCCTCCAAGGACACAGAAAAAGAGGACTGGCCACATGTCACAAGTCAAAGAACTCATTTCCAGATAAGCAAAGACTCTACCCCTGGTCCCAGCCACAGCAGGGAACTCGTTTCCTGCCCGAAGTGCTAAGCAGAACCGTACCACGTGAACCCAAGGTGTATTTATGGCAGGCACGGAGCCTGCAGGAGCCTGGACAGTATGTGCGTCACCTGTTAACAGTAATTAACCTAGATTTGGAAGCCAAATTAGCTGTACATGTCCCGTGAAGAGAAGGCAAAGCCTAGAAGAAGGCATGCAGAGGCAGAGCGGAGCAGGGGGTGCCTGGAATGAGCTGCGGAAATGCTGACATTGGGAAGAATTCATGGCAGAAGCAACACAAGGAGAAATTTAGGGAAAGGCAGGCTGAGAGGCCTGCAGCCGGAGATATTTCGGGCTGCCAACATTCCTCCCGCCAAAAGGGGGAGCAGGGCATTGAGGGAAGCCCTGGAAGGAAACTGAAATTTATGTTTAACTATAATGCTAAGTTCTTAAATGTTTTAAAGTTTTAGGAGATAATGTAATATGCTAAAGTGATCTCTCTTCTTTACTCTGTCAGTCAAAATAAAGGCCCCCAAAATGGAGCAAGGATCATACATACCAATGTACCCCTCAGTCAGAGACCTTCAACTCTTAGAATTCAGTCTCAGTAAATAAGACAAAAGAAGCAAAAGGCTAGATTTTGCATGAAGATGTATAACACACTGTGTTCTATAAGAGTAAAAATAAAAACTCTGGATTGTATTTGACAACAAACAATACAGGAAATTAGACAAGGCAAGAGTAAATTAAGGTATGTAAAACAGTCTCAACCCCTTTAGAAATGATAACATGAAGATACATATTGGGAAAAATATGAAGTTTAAAATTTCAAAATTAGCCCTTGCTGGTGTTGCTCAATGGTTAGAGCATCAACAGGGCACTGATGGGTAGCAAATTTGATTCCCAGTCAAGGGCACATACCTGGGTTGCAGGTTCTATCCCAGGCCCCAGTTGGGGCATGTGCGGGAGGCAACCAATCGATGTGTCTCTCTCACATCGATGTTTCCTCTCTCTCTCTCTCTCTCTCTCTCTCTCTCTCTCCTCCCTCCCTCCTTCCCTCCCTTCCAGTCCCTTTAAAAAATCAATAGAAAAAATATCCTAGGGTGAGGATTAACAAAAAAAAAAATTCAAAATTAAACATTCACTATGGTTGTAACTAAATCACAGTAGTGGTGCTGGGGAGAAAGCTACCGGAAGTGTCCGGCTCAGGAGCTGAGGATGGTCTGGGGTAGGCTGATGAAGAATGGAGAAGCTGAAGGCAAGTGCTCCTTGGGCAAAGCCATGGAGTTGTTTTGGGGCTGGTGAAGGAGAGGCTTGTCTCGTCCGGAATCCCAGGCGGTGGGCCTGAGCCCTAAACAAGAAAAGATGTAGCCTTCCTAAGTCCTAATGGGGCTCAAGTGCAGTGCTAATTAACCTTGGATTGAAGGGCTTGAGAATATGGATGGTCTTGTTGGACCCTGAAGGAGGCAGATCAGAAGGAACTGGAAGATTAGAAGAAAATAGAGCCTTTTCCATAGGGGTGTTTAATACAAAAACCTGGAAGGTTCTACTTACAAATTTGGCCCAGCTTACTGAGGAACATGAGAATAAACTTGTAACCGCTTGATAGAACATGAGAGCGGGAATGGGGCAAAGCGATTAGTTTCACCCCACCCCTGGCCATTCCCAACTTTCAGATAAGAAAACTCAGACCCAGAAAGGCATACCAACCACTTGCCGAAGATGACAACTAGCTCATGGCAGTGCCAGGGTTAGCACCCAGATCCTTCTCATTCCAGCATTTTTTGCTCTCCTATCAACCGTGTGTCGGTCAACCCAGCATTCTTCCACTGTGTCTGGAGTAACTTGAAATCGTTTTCACTGTATGAGTATGAATTGCTTTATTTCTAATGGGAGGAAATCCAGGAATGCCAAAAAAAGGAAGAACATTAACTGCAGTTTTGATTTGCAAAACCTCAGTTTTTAAAAATTCTCACTATTTCTGTTAAATGTATCTAACTGGTCTTGGCCCATATTCATAGTTGGTGGGTGTTTATATCGTAGTATGAATACTGATTCTATAGGGTTAGCTAACCCATTGAACTTTGTGTCATCAGCCACATAAAATACACGGATTTTTAAGATTTAAGGATTCAAGTCTTAAGGATCTTTCTTAAGTTGGCACCAAAGAAAGACCTGAAGGGCTGTCACTGGCAACGTCTTTCCAGGCTGACTGACACCCAGGCACTGTGCTATGGCCTAGGAGTAGAATCAGCTGTGAATGTATTTAATCATTCTCTCATCCTCCAATTTTTCTTTATTATGTGCAACAAGGAGACCTATGAGAGATTTTACTCAAATGATTTGATGTCTGTGGATTTCTCTTCCAGTGCCAATCTAAAACCCTTGTCTAAAAAGGAGATGGGATGGGCTGGTCACTACATGTTAGTAAAATAATGCTGGTTCCAAGGATCAGTGCAATCTTTCCTACGGACTCATAGATCATTTATATGATGATAATTCAGAATTTTTGCAAGGGAGCATTTCTACACTGACAGTTTTAGAAATTCAACTTTGTCAGAAGCTAGCCAGGACATCTGCATGACCCTGGTCTTCTGGATCCTCTCCCACTCTCCAAGATTTGCTCAACCATCACTGGTAACTGTTCAGAGATAGCTGCTAATTCCTCCAACACTCTAGTGTGCCCTAGAGATGTGAACTCATTCAAATTATCTAGATGCTCTTTCACTGTCTTCTGAATCCCGCTTAATTAATCCCTTGTCATTGCTAGAGAAGTAAAAGCAAACTAGTTCTGTATATGTCACCTATTAATGCGAGCCTTTCCCTCTTACTTAAGCAGTAGTCTACCTCTGTCTCTCTTCTTCTAGCTCCACATACAACGGAAAAGTAAAACAAACTAAAACATTATTCTCAAAATACAATTACATACCACATATACTATACACATAGACACACACACACACTCACTCAAAAAAGTTCAACCTAGCCAGTAAAGAAATTAATACAACAAAATATCATTTTATAACAAACCACAAAAACAGACCTTTAAGTGAAAAACAGTAATGCTGCTGATGTTGCAGGGAAATGGGTATACTCATATACTGACTGATAATGTAACTGTGTATTTGGAGACCAGCTACCTAAGATGCTCATGCCCTTCCTTCCAGGAACTCTCCACCTGAATATTTATCTTAAGGGACACATTATGAAAGAAAAGAAGGTCCAAGTATACAAATATGTCTTTAGGGATCTCATAAAGCCCCAAACTGGATACAGCCTAAGTATCCAACAACAGGAATGGCTAAATGAACCACAGAATACCAACTGTGGGAGGCCAAATAATGCTCGCCCCCTAAAAGATGGCCATTTCTTAATCCCTAGAACCTGTGAATATGCTTGCCTCGTATAGTTAAAAGGAACTTTCCAGTCCGGCCAGTCTGCCTCAGCGGTTGAGCATCGACCCACACACCAAGAGGTCACCGGTTTGATTCCCGGTCAGGGCACATGCCCAGGTTGTGGGCCACATCCCCAGTAGGGGGCATGCAGAGGGTGTCCAATCGATGTTCTCTCTCATCGATGTTTCTATCTCCCACTCCCTCTTCCTTCCTCTCTCTCTAAAATCAATAAAGAAAAAACAACAAAGGAACTTGCCAGCTGTGATTACTCCTCCACTCAAAACTCTCCAAAGGCTCCTGTCTCCTCAATGAGAAAACAAACAAATCCAAGTACCAAGAAGAACCTACAATGCCCAGGTCCACAGCAGTGCACAGCTCTGGGGAAAGCCACTCACATGTACTTTATATGACTGGCATTTCCCAAAGAGTGCAAAACACCCCTGCTCAGTATGTTTGCCCTCACTCACCACCTCTCTCTGGCCTTCCCACTAACAAATGTCTGTCTTGTTGACTCCACTTCAGCCTCACTGGCCAACTTGCTATTCCAGGAACATACCAAGCATACTTCTGCATGTTTTGCATTCACCGTTCCCTCTGCCTGAAGTACTAACTGTCCAGGTGTAGGGTTCCTGGAACAAAGGGAAGGGACATCTTATGTACTTGCTCTCTACATACACAGTTACATTGTCGGTAAGTATATGAGTACGTCTGTTTCCCTACTACCTTATCAGCATTGTTTTTTAAAATTACTTAAAGGTGTGTTTCCATGGTTTGTTGCAAAATGATATTTTCTTATGTTAATTTAATTTTGTTACTGGCTAGGTTGAACCTTTTTGGTGTACAAAGTGCATGTGTGTGTGGTATGTCACTTGTATTTCAATGATTCATTACCTTGCTTTCTTCCAGTCTGTTTAAAGGTCGCCACCTTATAAAGAGACTTTTCTTTTTTTTTTTTTTTATCCTCACCCGAGGACATTTTTCCATTTTTTGTTTAGGTAGAGTGGGAGGGAGAGAGAGGAACAGAGAGAGAGAGAGAGAGAGAGAGAAACATCGATGTGAAAGGGACACATCGAGTGGCTGCCACCCGCATGACCGACCAGGGCCGGGGACAAACTGCAACCAACGTACGTGCCCTCAGCGGAAACCGAACCCGGGTCTCTCTGGACCGCAGGCCAACGCTCCAACCGCTGAGCCAAACCGGCCAGGGCGAGACTTTTCTTGACCACCTTTTATTAAGTAACAAGGTCACTGCCCCACTCCAGAACTCCTCATCCCCCTTATCCTGCTTTACTTTTCTCTACAGCATGTGTTATCAGCTATCATAGCAAAAAATACCTACCTGTTCCCCATACCCCTGAATTAGAATGTAAACTCCACGAGAGCACAGACTTTGGCAGCACTGTTCATTGATGGCATCCCCAGAGCCCAAATGAGTTGTATGTGGGTGCTCAAGAAACAGTTGTTGAGTGAATGACCTAAGATTACAGATGACCACAGAAATGAAAAGAGCTCCCATTTTAATACAGCTGGTTTAAAGATGTACCATATAACTTAATGTAGTGTAGTCAAAAAATGTTTTAATAAATCAGCAGCTAAGTAACTTTTGATGATGCTATTGTTAGAAACTCAGTCAGATGCAAGTGTTCTGTGCGTGCCTTTTAAAAATTTAAATTAACAATAAAATGTCCTCGGAAGCCACACTGGTTCCTCTTGATGCTCACTCTCCATCTCTCTCATGAAGTTTCACCACATTTGTGTCATTAGAATTTCATTTTTCAGAATCTCTCATCCCTCCTGAGTCACATATCCCTTAAAAGCCATGAGCTCCAATGACTTGCCATTGACTGCTTTAAAATCTGGCTTCCTAAAGCCCTGGTAACAAGTTTTATAGCCCGAGTTATCTCTCTATGGCACAAATTCCAATAGACCTAAGACAGAAAACACACCCAATGAGCCAACAGCATCTTATAGTGACAGAAAGTAAGGAAATGCCAAAACAAACAAAACTCCACAGTGATGGGGGTATATCACAGGACACAGGAGGCCAATAGAAGCAGGAAGTGAAAAAGGAGTCAAAGCTGGAAGGGTTTGAGCAAGAAAAAAGTAGTATTGGATTACCCAAAGTATAATGTAAATATGAGTCTATGATGATATAGTACATGACTGAATAAACAAATGAGGAGAACAGACAAACCTCCCATGCAGAAGAATTTCACTAAATTTTATAGATACTCTTCCTTCACAGAAGAGGACCATAATTCCTACCCCCTGAATGTGGGCTGCATGCAGTGACTGCCTTCCACACGTGCCCTATGGAAAGGGAGGGGAAAGAGAAGAGGAACTTTATAGTTGCGAAACCTGGCAAACATTACGTCAGCCAAGTATCCAGATCAACGTCGGCAGGGGTATCATATTGATAGCAGGTACGCTTGATATGATGTGATGAGAAGAGCACCTGATCTCCCCAGGACACATTAACCTCAGTCTAACAATGAGAACAACGTCAGACAAATCTCAGTTGAGGTGCGTTCTCTAAACCACCTGACAGTCCTTCTCCAAACTGCCGAGGTCATCTGAAAGCAGGAAACCCTGAGAAACTGTCAGCACCACCAGGAGCCTAAGAGAGACACGACAACAGAATGTAATGTGGTATCCCAGATGGAATCCTAGAACAAAAAAAGGGCAGCAGGGGAAGTCAGCAAACCTGAATAAAGCATGGACCTTAGTTAATAATGTACCAACATTGGTTCCTGAGTTGGGACAAAGGTAGCACACTAACATAAGATAACGATCTGGAAAACTGGGCATCAAGTATATGGGAACCCTCTGTACTACATTCTCAGTTGTTCTCTAAATCTAAAAACGTTCTAAAATAAGAGCTTGTTAAAAGCAATTCAAAAAGATCACGATCACTGTCTTCTAAGGCTCCTCCATCTTCCACATCATAATATAATTATTCCTCAGTGGTCAGTGTTAAGTCCAATACAGCAACTTCCTTTGTTGTATTCTGAGGAGTGACCACACACAAAAAAAAGTCTAAAAGATATAGATTGTTGTTTTTTAGCTCAATTACCCAGCCAGCAGAAGCTGAGATGGTTATCTCCTATTGCCTCTGAGCTTTGCAGTTTGTCAACAAGGTATTATCAGCCTTAGCCTCCATCTGTCTGGTAAGCAGAAGGTCTCCACACCAATCAAACTGATGGGCTATTTCTCCCCCTTTTAGCCTCACCAAATGCTCTGCAGAATGGTTCCTCCCTCAGAATGTATATTTATAAACAAACATATTCTTTCTTCTTTATCAATTCTGTTTCTCCTGTTCTCTTCTATAGACCAGAGAGACATTTCTATCCATGTCGTCTCGGGACCAACTGAGCAGCGAGACATGGGAGCAAGTATCAGTCGCCACGTTCAAGAACAGAAGGACAGGGGGAAAGGAGGAGGACCTTCCGTGTCTGGTCCACCTGACATGCTCTGGCCTCACCTGCCTGCTACCACCAGTCCTCACTGGCCAAGTTCTTAAACCAAGCAGTAGAGATAAGCTGGGACAGCTTTGAGCCTCTGTTCTTATTGTCCTTGCCTCCTTCCTAGGACACTTCCCTATTCTTGTTTCTTCTAGCTTCTTTAATCCTGTGTGACTCCCACACCGGTGTATTCTTTCCCTCTGAACTCATAAACCATGTCTTACTCACTTTGCATTGCCAGCACTATTGGTTGTGGTTTGTGAGCATATCTCCTCAACTACACTGTAAGTTCCTCACTGGAGTGAACTTTATCTATTCTTTTGTATACACCTTGTGCACTGATCAGGCAAATTGTCCAGTAAACATTAGCAAATATCTGAGTGCTTACTCCTGGGTGTTTATTTCACAACAGTTCAATGAGGTAGGCACATAATCAACCCCATTTTATAGTTGAAAACGTTCAGAAACAAAGGAGTTGAGTGGCCACTGCCCTAGTAAATACGTCCTAGTCAAAGGATCCTTTACAGAGTCTGGGTATTTTAATGTGGTGGATGTAGAAGGAGAGTTAAAAACCTTGGGTCTGTGGCCCTGTCCAGTTTGGCTCAGCGGTTAGAGCATCGGCCTGCGGTCCTGAGAGACCCGGGTTCGGTTCCCGCTAAGGGCACGTACCTCAGTTGCGGTTTGTCCCTGGCCCTGGTTGGTTGTGCGGGTGGCAGCCACTCGATGTGTTCCTTTCACGTCGATGTTTCTCTCTCTCTCTCTCTGTTCCTCTCTCTCCCTCCCACTCTACCTGAACAAAAGAATTGGGAAGATGTCCTCGGGTGAGGATTAAAAAAAAAAACACCACAAAACAAAAACCTTGGGTCTGTGGACCCCAAACTGACTGAGGAATGTTTTATTCACTCCCTCTCCCCAAATCTAAGAGCCACACAAAGTTTGAATATAGTACAGACTATAGAGCTCAAGGGAGACAATATTTCTTTTTTAATTTTTTTTTTCTTTATTGATTTTAGAGAGAGAGGGAGAGAGAGAAACATTGATGAGAGAGAACATCGATTGGCCGCCTCCTGCATGCCCCCCACTGGGCATCAGGCCCAAAACCTGGGCATGTGCCCTGACCAAGAATTGAATCAGTAACTTCTTGGTGCATGGGTCGATGCTCAATCACTGAGCCACACCGGCCGGCCTAGATGGTACTTGTTTAAAAAAAATTTTATTGATTGATTTTAGAGAGAGAGGAAGCAGGGTGGTGGAGAGAGAAACACTGATTTATTGTTCCATTTATTTATGCATTCATTGGTTGATTTTTGTATGTGTCCTGACCAGGGATTGAACTAGCAACCTCAGAGTATCAGGACGACGCTTTAACCAACTGAGCAACCTGGCCAGGGTGAGATGATACTTTTAAAAAATTTCTTTCTTTCTTTTTTCTGGTATACGTGCCCTTTGCAGGAACCAAACCCAGGACTCTCTGGTCCACAGCCTGATGCTCCAACTGCTGAGCCAAACTGGCCAGGGCACTTTTAAAAAATTTCTTTAGGAAGCACTGTGCTCAGCCTTCATTCTTCACACACTGACCCACTAGATCGGCGGTTCTCAACCTTCCTAATGCCACCACCGTTTAATACAGTTCCTCATGTTGTGGCGACCCCCAACCATAAAATTATTTTTGTTGCTACTTCATAACTGTAATTCTGCTACTGTTATGTCTTAGGCGACCCCTGTGAAAGGGTCATTCGACCCCCAAAGTGGTCACGATCCATAGGTTGAGAACCACTGCACTAGATGAACTTAATGGACACAAATGGAACAAACACAGAAAAACAAAATATGCAAGTCTGTACAGTTTGGACTGCAGTGCCAGGCTGGTTCATACGCTTCGCGAAAACTGGGCAGAGATGAGGCAGTGTGCTAGAGGAATAACCAGAACCCAGCACCACACGGTGTGACCATGGACAGCACACAGCCAGGTTCTCTTCAGCCATCTGCTTCTCATTTCCCATCGCGAGTTTGTGCTGGATGATCAACTTCTTAGAAGGGTTCTAAAAATAAGTTATCACCAAATTCTATTACACAACACACAAGTATTGACATTCACCTTATGGCCCACAGCCAAATTAAACAACCTTCCTTCTATTACTGGAAGAAAGGGCTGAGCCTCAGCAGGTGCAAAACATCGAAATTGGTAACAGACTCCAATTTCCTCCTCCTCATCACCAACAGCACCACCACCAGACAATGAGCTTTTCAAGAATGCCTGCATGCTGTGCCAACAGGCAATTGTGATGCCCACTCCTTCCAACCAAGAATGGCCAGGCTTTGCCTAAGGGGCAGGCAACCTCTTCACCAGGTTTATGCCAGCTGCTACTTAACTCTGAGCACCCCCAGAATGCCTTGGCCAGGAAACACACTGGCCTTCCTACATCTGTTAGATTGGTTCTTTGCTTTTGAACTCCACTATCTTCAAGTGTTCGATTTAGCTATCAGACTTGACACCAGCATCTCCTCTTCTGATAGCTATCGTTCTGAGTTTCCAAAGAAATATGAACGAAGACTGCATGAAACATACCATGGCTGGTACCCAAGTGGACTAAAGGGAAAATGCCAGCAGAGTATTGTTAGCTCTTAACTTCCACATTACTGCCCTAAACCTCTCATTCCAAGAAACCAAAACCCATCACTCTCATCTTTTAACCTTTCCCTAAGCCTCTCATTCCAGAAAACCAAAACCCATCACTCCAGTCAGGAGGAATGATGGAACCAACCTAACCCACCCAAAACTGCAAACAGTCCTGGCAAGAAAAACAAGTTTCATGAGACCCCAGCCCCCGACCAATCAAAGACTACCACGTCTCCTGGGCGGAACGACCCCACCCCCACCCCCACCCCCACCCCCAGTTTAAAAATCCCTAGTCTGTACAAGCCGGTTGCTACTCTCTCCTTAGAGGTGGTCCGGCAGGCTATTCCCAATAAACCTGCACTTCTGGAGACCCTGCACCGCCTCCTTCCGCCTCGTTCTTACAAGTGTATAAGTTAGAAATAAGGGAACGAATTAGAATCCCAATATGCCAAAACTAAATGAATACATAATTTCATACACTCCTGAATAGCATTATTAAACAAACAGACGTGATCCATGGCATTCAATCAGTCAGCAAGACTTTCAAGTAAAGGGCATTGCTTTGGACAAAGATTTATTCATTAAAATATTAACAAGAGATCCTTCGTCCCTCAAGGAACTTCGAATCCAGCAGAGAAGATCCAAGGTGCCTGAAAGGTGATGAGTCCCACAACAGAGGCATAAATAAACCGCTAGTCTCCACCACACTATTACTCCATGTCCTGGGGAGGGTTTCCGGAGCTCTGGGAAGCGATTCTCCCTTGGGTCTAGAGCGCAGGAGCCCCGCTAGCGGCGCGGTTGTGGGGCACAGCCGTCCCTGGAGGGTGAAGAGCTGGAAGGAGCTCAAAGCCGCTCCCTCACTCCCAGTCTCCTTTCACCCACATTATAAAGATGGATGCAATTTACTAGGAAATACTTCCCTGAAGTACAGTGAAAAACAGGTAACATCTTACCACTTTTTGAAGTGTGACTCAGAGCAACTTGGCAGCACGTGCTGGGTCTCGGCCTGTCCTCACGTCGGAGGCCAGGCACACACACCGGAGCAGAGGCCTCCCCGGGACCCTGAGGCCGCCTTACCCTGACTCCAGGCACAGCTACCACTTGGCCACCCATTCTTTTAATCGCATTATTTTACCTTAATCAAATGTGTTTTGCCTCTAATCTATTGTAAATTCCTTAAGGATCAAGGCCACTAACTTGTTTCTTGCTATTGTCTCTTTATCCCACCCCCTCACTCTAGACGTGCCTTCTGCCCTCGGCACCTTAGAGAAAGCTCTGCTCATAACAGTGAAAGAAAATCGCTTTTACTTAGTTCCTAGTACCTGTATCCCTTCATCTCAGTTAATCCTCTCAAAAATCTCTTGAAGTAGGCAAAGACAACTTTATTTATTTATTTACTTAAATGTGTCATTACTGTTGAAAGTATTACAGTTGTCCCTCCCTTTTCCCCATTGACACACCCTTCCTCCCACTACCCCCACCCACCCTCACCACGCTGTTGTCTGTGTCCATTGGTTAGGCATATATGCTTATCAGTTCTTTGGTTTATCTCTTCCCTCCCTCCTCCACGTAACCCCTTCCCTCTGAGGTTTGTCAGAAAGACAACTTCACAAGTTTAGAGGCTGTTCTTTGCTGGGCAAAGGGATCGGATCATCTTAGAGGTTGCCCATTGTACTCAATGCCATGTCAAGTTCGCCTCTCCTCGCTTCCCCTGAAATACATACACCTCTTATCCAGGCATCAGGGGTAACAGAAATCATACTGGTGGAACAGATATTCACAAATTGAGGTTAAATGGAAATACTACAACTTTTAGACATCAAGAGTTCTACAACAGCCTTCTAAGATTCTAACGCAGCACTCAAACATGACACGTGACCCTTGAAACTAAATTATCATACACATTAAGAAGGATCCATAGGCGTGTGCTAAAGGTAACTTTCCTTAACAGTGATGGCTGTGGTCATATCTGTTAACCTGTTAATGACCGAAGGATGAGTAGGGAGGAGTAATTTTCTTTTTTATCCTCACCCGAGGACACTTTTCCATTTTTTGTTCAGGTAGAGTGGGAGGGAGAGAGAGGAACAGAGAGAGAGAGAGAAAGAAACATTGATGCGAAAGGAACACATCAAGTGGCTGCCACCCGCACAACCGACCAGGGCCGGGGACAAACTGCAACCGAGGCACGTGCCCTTAGCAGGAACAGAACCCGGGTCTCTCTGGACCACAGGTCGACGCTCTAACCGCTGAGCCAAACCGGCCAGGGCAGGAGTAATTTTCAACTAACACGAAAAGAAAGCTGCCCCAGTCTGGATCCATCTCAGGGATAATTCTTTCTCATGAAAAGAGGAGATATACTGGAGGTACATTCTAAATTCAAAGCAGTGAGCGCTCTCTCTCTCTCTCTCTCTCTCTCTCTCTCTGTCTCTCTCCACCCTCCCTCTCTCTCTCCAGGGCACACTAAATAATTCCCACTTACTTCAGCTGGTCTTTGATGATGGTGGAGGAAACAGATACGTGTTCAAATAATAATAATCATAATCATAAGTTCAAAGCAATCAGGAAATCCATTATTCCTTTTCCTGTTTCCATTCTAGTTGATTTGTATTTATACTTAGTGTATACATAAAATGGGTGGGGCCCATTTTAAGGACCTAATGATATCCTTAAAATTTACTGTCTAGTTTCAATACAACCTGATGTAACAAGCTCAAGAGTTGTAGTTTTCAACATAGTCCAGGTCAAATTCCATTCTAATAACTTCTTTGGGCCTACTGAAATTCTTTGCTTTCTAGAATTTAGTTGTACATGACAGTCAGTACTTGAAGTGTGATATCAGTTAAAAATTAAGAAATTTGTTTTTATTTATGGAATTTTAAAATATGTTCTAGTTAAATACGGGCTGTAAAAACAGATCTAAAACCTTTGGAGTATTTTTTATCCCAAAATAAATCTCATCTGCTAATACAGCTCACTTTTTGGGAATTGATGCT